ATCACGGATCAAAGGAGTACCCCCTCCTTTAGTCGATGCCCTGAGCACAGTGGCAAGCCGGATCAACATCTTAGCAGATTTTACTGATCCCGCTCCACCACAATGGTGCACGTGCCCGGATTTTTGGTGACTCGGGATTTCACTGGGAATCTCTAGAGGATGTTCAAGTGAAGATTGAGCAACAGAAGGTTATGTAGTCGGATCCAGGATCGACGAGACGTCGCTGAACACTAGACCTGCCTGGAGGCGCTCTGTCGACGGAAAAGAGGATGAGCTGGACCCCGATCCAGATATGGAAGATAAACCTCACCCTCCACCGGTATCCGACCTGGAGCCCCGCCGGCTTGCGTCAAGATCCGCCAACAAAACAAACAAAGTGAAGGCTGAACCATATTCATTTATTGATCCGAATGAGCCGACACTATATATGTCCAAGGATCCGCAAGGCTCTAGATTCGTGGTCGGAAATTCACGATCCAAGACTGTGCGAAAGAAGATGAAAGCCCCCGAGTCTGACGATGATGGAAATCAGGACGGGTCCGACCGGTCCGATGAAGATTTGAAGTATTTGTACCACCGGAAGGAGCTACACGACTTCGTACTTCGGGATCCGGTGATGAGGATCGTGAAGCTGAAGCTGAAGCGGATCGCGGATCCAAAGGACCCGGTAACTGCCCAAGCAGCAGTAACTAACAAGCTCGACGCAGCAACGGTCCTGGTCAGGCTGCTGAAGGAAGGCGGCATGATCCCGGATCCTTGAGACGGATGATCTATTCGATCTGGAATTGACCTTGATACAGTACAAGCATCAAGCCGAGATCTCTTTGGAAAGGTGAAAATCCTGGTTGGCGAAGTTCCCCCGATCAACGCATTGGATAACTTGACGGTCTTATCACACTATGCAGCTGAAGACGGATCCGACATCTCATCGGAACCCGGCGCATGTCGCTGGGACCCTCCAGCGCATCAATGCTGGAGGTGAGAACCAAGATCCGGCGTCCAAGCCCACCCAGATATGACAGGCAGCCTACCGACTGACCAAGCCACAATCACTTCGAGCTCGGATCGGTCGGCTGGATCGCTGTAGAAGTTTTCAACGCCGCGATGAACCGATTCCTAGCCGAACAACAAGCCGCGGGTGCGGATAGTGTCGTTAAACTACCACACTAGTAGTTTAGCACACTAACATCCTGTTAAAAGAATCCACCTAGTTTCGCCACCAAAATCGTTCCTTTGGTTGTTGCAGAAAAGGGCCCACACTCGTTGCAGATCCTCATACTACCGAATCACGGGATGTTGACATGGGTGTCGGTCCGATCATCAGATCGCGGATCCAATTGGAAATATGATCCGGACGATATCGACTTCCTGGTACCTGCTCATCGGCTGTAGCTACTGCTGTATCCTGATTCACTGGACCCATCATGATCCAACGAGCCCGGATCTCGGTGATCTCGGATCTGAAGGAGGTTTCTGGCAAGGATCCGGACGATAATCGAGCACGAACTTGGATCACCAAGGTCAAGTCGGCCATCATGCGCGATCAAGCATCGGATAAAAAAAATGCTGGACCTTTGCCGATATGTTTGCAGGATCAGCAAAGAACTGGTACCTCCAATTAAGTCGATCCACGCGTAACAAGTGGAGCGATCTGCTCCATAGTTTCCTGATCCATTATTGCGGACTTGGAGTATCCGTGGCGAGGTAATATTACCATGCACGTCGCAGATCCGATGAATATCCGTTGGATCTGTATTGGCTAAACGCTGTTGCGATTATCGGATGCGGATTATCTGGAAGAAGTACTTCGCGCGCGGGATCGGGCCAAAATCCGACAGAAGAAGGCTGGGTACTTCCGACGGATCGGACGGATCCGACTCTGAGGTGGACAGTCATCGCACAATCTACTATGCCCCGAATCAAGATGCCACATCGAAGGAGGAAAGCGCGACGATCATGCCGGATCCGGGACATCAAGATCCGGGATCCATCAACATATCCGCCAGGAGCACCGATCCAAGATCCAGGGTGACGATTCAAACGTAACCAATGCTCGCCATCCAAGAAACATTCAAATCTCGGATGTTGGAGACGGGTGACTTGTACCAAGTGCGGCAAACGAGGTCATCCGGCGGATCATTGCCTTTTTGTATGTCGCGGATGTGGCGAGCTCCATGACATGGGCAAATGCCGGATGGAGGAGTTTTACAACCAGGTCCGTCAATGGTTCAATCCGACCAAGTACACGGGTATGCTTCCTGTAGCTGCGAGAAAATGTAAAACTAGGACGCTCGTCGGGGTGGAATCCGATACGAGCCGAGCGTTCTAGTCATTGCATTTATGCATTTGTACATAAGCCATCGGTAGATCAAGTTAGCGAGCAGCGACATCTACCCGATAATACCCGTGATCTACATGGGTACCATACCTTCGTGATATCCAGTCTTCGCCAAGCTGATGAATATGCCAGATCCGATGTGACCATGGCGGTGGATCTTCATCCCGGAGAATCCAGAGGTTATTGGAAACAGCACGATCCGGATCTGTGGTTTACACTTGTAGATTAAGAGCTACAACCGAGACCGCGAGGCCTAGTCGGATCGCAGAGTATCGACGATCTGGATCCGCGTCGACATTGGATCTCCTACATGGGGGATCCCGTGGATATTGGAAGCATCTTGCTTCTGGTTAGTGGTTCCGTCAAGCCAAGATCGGAGGCAAAACCCACAATGAGAAGGCGATCTTACTCCTAGGTACTGGTACCGAGGTGCCATCATAGATGCCGCTTTGTTCGTAAGGTTGGGTGCTACATCGACTCGAGTCAGATGCAAGATTGTGTGGAGATCGGCTGTAACGTGTATCGAACAGAAGGAAGCACACGGATCAAGATGACCCTTGCAGGGTTCTTAGTTTATTTCTTCGATATCTGTGTGTAAGATCTCTCTGATCAAGAAGCTATCCTCGACATGGCATTCATGTTTCTGGCCGGGATCGGCTTGGACCTCACTCACGGTTCAATCAGCTTGCCCGACATGGAGCTCCCATTTCGTCTGAGGACCTCGGATCATGAGAAGTTCTGGATCACCCGTGAAGATCACTGGGTTCCCACGGTTGTCAATGGTGCAAGGAAGATCCGATACATGAGGTCTTGAACCTTCATCAGGACCTGCGGGTCGGGATCTGGCTGGCCGGCGATCTTATCCCACGACAATTCATCTCAGTGGGGTCCCGGCACTATATGGAGTGGCAGAATCTGGATCTGGAAGGGACCGTGGAACCCCGATCTCCAGATCCGGAAGATCCGCCTGTGCCTGCGGTGGAGCACCCCGAGTATGGAACTCCGCGTGGAATATTGCAACGGCCAAGGGCGACGGCGATCAAGTGTATGATGGGTGAATCAAGCGAAGATCCAGATGCCTCTCACCACTCGTCTTCGGACAATCCGCCGTCGAACAATCCACCGCCGGATTGCCGACCGTTGGATTCGACGGCTGTCGCAAGTGATGAATCGGATCTGTCGTCTATCGATGATGACGACCCTATGTTACATGTCGTAACGGCGTCGAGGCGTTCAACGATCGTGTCCGGGCGTATCAGATATTCTATCGGCGAATTCGGCTCCAGTTGAAGCTCCAGCCTCGGAAACCGTATTGGCAGATGAAGATAGAAGTGGTGCAACCGGTATGGATCAAGATCGGCCATCCCAAGACGTTCAAGCGCCGAAGGTGGTTATATTGAAGGGTGATGGGTCCAACCCATCACCTTTGATGGGTGTAGAGTCTATGACGGGCCATAAGTGAGGTGACACGTAGGACCAGAATAACGCCACATCTATGTCCCAGAAAAGGGCAGGGATCAGGCGGCTATTCCCGACGATTAACCTGACCCATCGAATCTGGATCTCACTTGGGAGTCGGATCAAGATTACGACGGATCTGTGTATTACCACGAGGACAGTGATCTCTACGCAGAAGACGTCGACGGACAACTTGCGGTACTGCCCGAGGTCCCGGTAACGACGGAAGGTGTGAGGATCGAAGCCATTCAATTTCCCGGATCTGATAACAGACGTCGGAAGAAATCGACGGACTTTGTCAGTGATTCTGGAAGTTCCGACATCCCCTGATCGGCAAGGGAAATACGCTCCCGCCGGAAGCTCAAGATATTGTGTGTGATATTGGTGTGGGGGAGCTAGCCGATCGCGCTTAAGTACCGTAAGCTTCGAATCCAGTACCGAGAGAAGATGGCAGAGATGATCGAGGGTCTCCTGTCTGTGGAGATGATCAACCACTCAAGATCTCCATGGGCATCACTGATTTTCGTGATCATCAAGAAGAACGGTGTGGATATACGAATATGTATTAATTATCGGTTGGTTAACAGTCTGACACAGCTGATGGCCTACCCAATGCCCCTGATCAACGATCTACTGGAAGAGCTGAAGTATACACTATGGTATTGTTCGCTGGATATGGCGAGCGGATTTTGGGTGGTGAAGATGACGGATCCGGCTGCCTGAGCTCGGCTTTTATCACTCCGTTTGGACTTTTCAAATAGAATTGGGTGCCGTTTGAGCTGAAGAACGCGTCGCAGATCTACCAGCGGTTGATTGACAACACCTTGTATGGGTTCACCCGAATCCCGAATGGACAAGTGCTCTGGAGCGTCGGGATGTATTCGAGGCTGGAGAAGCTGAGGATCCAGGCAAATCATCAGTGGTAGGATGCAGATCCTACAACGATGTCATCTTAGTCCCAGCGAGCAATTGGGATCAGCTATGCGATCGTGTTGAAGATATTATAGAGACGTGCGACAAATGGAAGCTGTCGATCAGCGTCGTCAAGCGTTTCGGGGGCATGCCGAAAATGGAATATCTTGGACATCAAGGTATCGTACGACGGACTGGAGGCGCATCCAAAGGGTCTGTCGGTGTTGACGGATCTTGAGGTTCCCAGATCCTTGCGTGCTATGCAATCCGTTTTGGGGAGTCAGCACTATTATAGTCGCTTCATCAAGGATTATCTGGTTTACGCGTCTGTGCTATATGATTTGAGGGAGGTCAATTATGCTGCGATGGAGAAGAATGTGAATCGAATCAGCTGGTGCTAACATCAAACCGCCCGGGTCCGGAGATGCCGGCTGAGGATCGGACAACTTCAAACCCTCGGATCCGGACTCGCGGGGTCCAGATCTCGAACCTACCCAGCAAGATCCGGACCTAATGTCGTGGGATTCGACGTATGACAACTCGAACATGGTTGGTCCGGAGCTGAATAACCTCGCGGATCTGGATCTCCGTTGGACCCATGCTCATAGATTATTCAAGGTGTTCAAGAAGAAGTTAGCGACAACGCGGATCCTACGTCATTTTGATCCTGATCGGCAAGCCGTAGTGGTTGTATGTGCCATTAATTGGGCGATCTCCTGTGCATTGATGCAGGGATATGATCAGACCTACTATCCAGTGATGTTTGCGAGTCGTTCGTTGAAGCCCAACGAGTTAAACTACAAGTTTGCAGAGAAGGAGGCGTTGACATTGTTGCGAATCAAGGATCTCAACTGTAATACTTTGGTTGGGCGACCGGTCCGAGTGCTAACACGACATTCTACACTGGCTTGACTGTTTAGATCCACTGCATTACAAGGTCGCCTGGTAGGGTGGGCTGCCTTACTTTCACCCTGGATCCTGGAGATCGTCAAGTGACACTAAGGCGAGGATGAGTTCTGGGGCTCATTAGCAACCCGTATCACCACCAGATCCGAAGTCGACAAAGCACTGATCTTGATCGCCTCGAAGAAGGAGTCGAGGCGCAAGATCCAACCCATGTTCCCGACGGTGAGGCCGGATGAAGATCTATATGTCGCTAGCTATGACGGATCCGCCCGTGTCAAGCGAGGTGGAGACGCCTATAGTGCGAACCTGTGGAAATTACCCGAGTGGACAGTGGTGAAGGTCGGATCCGGCTATGGCGAAGGCTTAACCGTCAATGAGGCCGAATGTCATGAGCTTTTGTTATGTCTTGACTTGCTCCGAAACGACTGATGATCTGTGACGATTCAAACTTGGAGATCCAAGTGAGATCAACTGCAAGGCACCTGGACTGACATTACTGAGACAGAAGGCGTTGGCCAAACTGCGGATTCTGCCGGATCATGAGTTGGTTCATGTGAAACGAGATTGGAATGTAAGTGCAGATAGTCTGGCTAGTGCTGCACTGCAGCGACAATGTGGAGTCGAGATCGAAACCGTTAGGGAGATCCAGGATCTGATCACGTTGAACGGACTGGACGAGATACTGATAGTGAAATTCAAAGGGTCCGACCGTACAGATCGCGACGGTCACAACTAGATCAAAGGCCTACTGCGGCGTGAGAGCGGGATCCAACCCACCTGTGCTCAGTGAAGCAGTGATCAGAGACCTCAGAATCGTGCGGATCCGACAGGCTCATGTCTAGGAGGTGTAGACCCATGTTGGGAAGGAATATAGCCTGCGAAGTACGTGATCTGACACAGGAAGACGCTAAATTATGCGGATATATTTCTATGAATTATGAAGTGGTTCAGCATGATCTCTTGTTCAGTTGCCCTACTACGATAGAATCAGCTGTGGATCGGGACAAATTGATGTGACTGATGCTACCTGAAACGTTGGATCAAGATGTTCAACATCATTATCGCACGTGCATTTAAGGTGGGCATCAGGGGATCGACCGTACTTATGATCGGATCCGGGATCACTTCACTGGAGAGGACTGTACCGCAGTGTACAGTGATATATCGGCCAATATGTAGACTGTGAGACGGGAAAAGGGCAACCTCGGATACTAGGCGAATTGCTGGGCAAACTTTAAGCGACTTATCGCTATGGATCACATCTCCTCACTGCCTATGTCCTACAAGGGTAACACCGAGCTGTTGATCTTCGAGGATTTCTTCTCTAGGACGTGATCGCCAAAGCGAGCGGATCCAGGACGGCTCAGGCTGTGGCAGGGTTCTGGTAGTCCCAGACAATGTCGCCTTCCGCAAACACTACAGCGTTTTGTTCATCAAATCGTCACGCGTGACGACTCTGAGCCTTAAGTAGTTGACGTTCAACCTTTCGTCGGGTGTCGCGCATCAACAGGAACAACTTCCTCCAGGTACGCCTTGACCTTATTACTCTTCCACTCATTGCTCGTGGTAATTACTTGGATTTGGAAAATTCCACGGTTTGAAGACCGTGTTGTATGGATTGTGTTATTACGGTCTGTGAACCGTCGTGATATGGAAAATGGCTTATGTTCTTTCGAAATAACTCTTTCCTCGGAAGGACACAACGGCCAAAACGAAAAGGAGAACGAGGGGATACGAGCCGTCATCCAACTGGCGATCGATCTCAACCGGCAGGTCGCGGATCCGCTCACTCAGGAATAACTTGAGCCAGACGCCCGTCGTAATGTCTCCGGCAAAGTGAGGGAGGCCTTGATGGTACCAGTGATGTCCAGAAGCACTCGACCCAGAGCTCGATCTGTCAAACACTGGTGACGGCCACTCGGTACGACAAGAAGGAATCTCAAGTAGCACACCGCTCATGAACTTCGATGGCTCCTCCACAACCTTGCGTCCATTGAATCCGATCCATGCGTGGGATAACAAACCAGTATTGGCGATTAACTTGAGCGAGGACGATGAACATGAAGACAGTGGGGTCGTGCAAGCCGTTCCCAGCAGGGAAGTCACCATATGTTTGAGTTGTGGCAACTCATTTCATCCTGCGTCATGCACGTCCAGCAACTCCAAGCCGAAGTAAGCGCATTAGCTAACTCCCAGTAGCTAGGGTTTTGTGACGTACCCAACGCAATCCAATATTGACCTCATCGTCCGGATTGAGAGCATCAGTCAGCTCTAAAAGCGTCGGAAGATCCTTTAAACCGTGGCAAGTCGGTCTGGATTCGCACGTCACGAAGGTTGTAGGCATGCTCTTTTGTTTTACTTGAAGAGGGCGCTGAGGTCGCCCAACAAGGGACCCTTGTACTCGCGGTTGGGCTGATTCCTGCCTGGCTCACCGTCCCACCAATAGAGGTTGCGGCGACCACTCGTCTCCATTCGTACCATACCAGCCCCAAGTCTCAATCATGAAACTTGTGCAAACATCGTGTTCCGCCTGGTTCGTTGATTTCCTGCGCCGGCGATCCCCATTATGTCACGGTGCCCTGCAAAGGCACGTGAAGACACCACAAGTAGAAAGCGAGGCGAGAAGCCATCCACCAGCGCCAATGTACAAGGGGAACTCGTCCGGGTCGTAGAACAAGCGCTGATTCGCTCACTGATAAGACACCGTTCGGGCGCGCCTTGTAGAGCTTCAAAATTTCGCGCTTGGCCTCGACCGGAGCTACTTCCGAAACGGGGAAACCCACAAACTCCTCAAGTTGAGCATGCAAGGCATCGAGTTCAGCCTTCAAATCCGCTACTTCTGCCCCTTTGTCCGTATCGTCGGCAGTGTGTATTATCTCAAGAGCCTCGACTAGCTTGGGTCTTGACCGGCAACTGTTTGTCGGCGGGAGTCTGGCCTGGTTGCTTCGCCCAAGTCGATCGCTTCGCAACAACCGGCTTCTTGGTCTTCATGGGCTGGGCTCCTCGACACGATTCGCAGGCTTCGCTGCCTGCTTCTCCTCTGCCGTTAAAACAAAATAGATCTTTCACTTCTTGACGGCGTGAGTGCCTTCATTCGGCACGAGCACAGGCCCTTGCTGATCAGCCGATGAGGAAGAACGCACCCGCTTGGAACCATCTGTGAACAGGTCGTGCTCCGCAGGAGTACCTTCTGAGCGTTGTCGAGAGCGGTTCGGCAAGAGAGAGTAATGAGGGCATCGATAAAGTCTGCAGCCGCCACCTCGTCGCCGTTGATCTGTTCCTCAGCTATCCCGTCGAGTGTCTGCAACCCGACCGAAGTCAGATTTACGGCCAAAATGTCCCGCATGTGACGCGAAACGTCAATCAGTGCAGCCTTGCGCGTGGCAGGAGGAATTGTGTTCGAATTGTACGCAGCCTTGACTTAAAATAGCTCCTGGATATGGCCCAGCAAGGCACCACCCGGGGGGGTGGAGACGGGGGTCCATGGCGAAGTTGAAAGTACTGAGAGCTTGTTGATCTTGGTGCCAAATCGCAGAATGACCGTTGCTTGAGAACCGCGCTGCTTCATTGAAGTGGATTGATCAGACGGGTGGGATTTGTCAGTCACGAGAAAGGGTGAAATCTTCGAACCGTCCTGAAAGAGAACTGCAAAAGTATCCATCAAAATTGCACAGTTGAAGTTTATTGACGAACTTTGACTATCGAACGGGTGGCTACCGTCTGCTCAAAGTCAAATGCAAGTGTCTAGTGAAACGCTGTGGCACTAAACTACCTGCATTTGGATGAAACAACGCACCGTGAGGTTACGCGACGATGGCGTCGTCTCTCACGGTACGACTGTAGTGGCGTCTATAATTTTCATTTGGAGAAGTTGTGGTTAGTGTTTTGAGTTCGAATGAACTGGTTGTGGGACTTCATGTGGGATAAGTACGCGGATGCTTCGCTGTAGCCCGTGCGCTGTGGCACGGTAGTGCGCGTCATTGGAGGGTGGACGCTAACTACTCCTTTTTGCTGGAAGTTAAAAGAGTTAACTGCTTGGACGGTGATACGGCCTCAGCGTTCCCCAGGAAGTATCAGGAGGTAGTTCAAAACCCTATGATAGAGCAACTGCATGGATGGTCGTATGCTGGAGCGCTTGGTGGTGTGGAGCTCTCGGTCTCTAGCCTAGTTTTGACGAAGGAAGAAAAGAAGAAAGGTCGCTATGAGCGAGTCCAACCTTGGTGGAACACATGGCGAGAAACCTTCTACGACTTTTTGCCCGACGTAGGGTCGGACACCTACCGTTCTATGACGAACTACAACTATGCGTCCTGGATGCTACTGAGTCGACAGCGAAACGCATATACGCAGCGATGTTGGCAGTGTACTGGTTCGTGATGATTTTGCTGCCCATCGTGGTGTATCTACGTACGACCTGTTGACGTATGTGGTGAAAATTTAGGAGTGGTGATGGTGCTAAGTGTCTTCACTTCCCTGAATTGGCATTTCCAGTTATGGTCTTACGGAGTGTATGTGAGTTGTGGAGTGCTAGTAGTTGGAGTACCGACGCAAGCATGGCTACTGGGCAATGGTGACAAGCAGTTGGAAGGGATAATCCCTAGCGCCGTGGTAAATAATGCGCACTCGAGAGTGTGCGCAAGGACACTGAGAGGCGTCGGAATCGTGAGGAATCTAACTTGTGACGGCTTCCTAAGAACGATGAGGAGCAGTTGCTCGAGGTTACCAGCGCTGATGAAGCCAAGACGAAGAAGAAGTTATGACGTCGGAAGTCGCGTGACCGCTCTGCAATTGCTGCAGAATTACGTGACGCCGAGAGTCTTGTGGAGCAGTTGCGGTGCTCGATGAAGAAGAGTGAAGCGACGAAGATTGAGTTCTACGACGACCAACATTCTTGCGCTGGGCGAGCGCAGCCTAACGTTAGCTAGGGAGCGTGTCCGGAGTCCTGTCCAGACGGCGGGATGCCAGGAGGCCGTATGTTGGGGACAAGTGAGGACGCACCGATGGCTACGTCGAGTACGGACTTGGGTGGCCTACATGGTCTAAGGAGTGGGATCAGTCATCTTTGTTGTGCCAGGGCGCTCTTGACTTGCGGTCTCGCGTCACCTTCTGAGGAGGGAAGACTAGCTCGGTATGCTGGTAAGGTAAAGTAGTGAGAGGCTGGACGACGTCTGAGACCTTCGCGCGTGCATGAAGCTGTCGATAGAGCGTTCGACGAAGATCGTGTACTCGGTTCAAGGACGGAGGACACTACAGAGCGCCTGCAGGTGAGTAGAAAAGAGGAGTGTCATGCTCAAGTGCTAGGATCTCTTTAGAGGATCACTCCTGGATTCAAGCCTGTCGTTTATTCTCTAAGAAGCACACAGATCAATACATGGAACTCACATGTTAGTTCTTTGTTTTAGTTAAATCTTCTACGACTACGAGACGCACTCAACAAGAACGCCAGCAATACTCGAACTACAACGCTTTTGAGGGGATACATGAGATAAATCAGCTAGATCGGACAATCTCGCTTCGATCTATACCACGTTCACGTCTTGCGCTCCAGAGCCTCACTGGCTAACGAGTCTGCGGCTGCGTTGTATTCCCTAGAGAGTGGCTACCTGCACAGGAAAAAATGAGCGCAATGAGAGTGGGATGTGTACCCTCCCGATCAGAATTATTCATGCCGATTTGCAGGCGCCCCAGCCCTACGACCTTCAGTCTGACATCGCGTTGAGTGACCAGATTTCCCCC